TTTAGAAACAGGGCTAATACCAGTCATGTTTGACGCACCCACCAGGGACTTGAATGAATGGGGGTTGTGGTTCTGAGATTCGGACACTTCACCTACCCACCTGGCCCCCACGGTTGGACATTCTCAGGCACCCCTGTTGGGTCTCATTGTCTTGTGTCTGTGTCTAACTGAAACAGCCTTGTTTGAGAAGCAGTGGCCGTAATTGCTGGTTAAAGGGTGTCTCACGTGGGTGACAAGGGTGATAGCTGATTATGGGGTGTCTCAATTGGATGATGATGCTGATATCCGGTTATGGGGTGTCTCATGTGGGTAACGGTGCTTTTGATTGTCTCTTGTTCTGCTTTTGAAGGCTTTATATCTTACCTGAGTCAGCCCTGGTAGCCTAAAGGGTTACATGTTGGGCTGCTAACTGCAAGGTCAGCAGTTCGAATCCACCATTGACTCTGCAAGAGATTGAGAAGGCATTCTGCCCCCACAGAGATTGGCGGCCCAGGAAACCCTGTCCAGGGTCGCATGGGTCAGCACATGAGCTGATTCTCGAGGAGCTAAAACACAGCAGGACGCCACATCTTGTCTAAGTTCGGTAGCAATGTGGCTGTGAACTCGGTGGTGACCCTCTGCAACCCTGGGCCTCCGCTGCAGAGCCCTGTCCAGAACCAGGTCACTGAGGGGACACAGAGGGTGGCCGGCAGGTTTCCTCACAAGGTGTCACGCAGCCCCGTGGTTTCCACATGCTAATGGGAAACCTCGTACCTGAGCTAGCCCTTACACTAACATGGGCTGAGCCGTGCTGTGTCCACACGCTCCTCAGTGAGGTCATCTGGCTCCGGGAGCAGCTGGGCCAAGTGCCCCAGAGTAGGAGACGGTTGTGCGCATTGACAGGAAGTTCAGTCTGTAACCGTTCAGGCTCCAGAAGTGTCTCTCCTTCACGTGTCAGCGAGAGTCCACCAGCACTGGCCATGCTCAAGGAGCCCTGGGGCTGAATGGGTTAAGTGCTGGGCTGCTAACAGAAAGGTCAGAGGTTCAAACCCACCATCCACTCAAGAGTAATATGGGATCAGTAGGCTTCCACTAAAATGTCAGCCTAGGAAACCCTATGGGCAGTTCTCCCCTGTCCTGTAGGGACCAGGGAGGCTATGAGTCGGAATCGACTTGATGGGCGCTGGGTTTGGTTTGGTTTTTGATGGCGTTCAACAAGTGATATGTGATGTGGTCTGTGTTACATTTGAAAATGCTGATTTTCTTTCCTTACCATGTATATGTTTCTTTTTAAACAAAATCTAAAGCAATTTGGGGAACTTTTCAAATCTCTAAGAGAGCAGCATATAAACAACTTGAAAACGTGACGCCTTGTGAACCTGAGTGGGTTGGACAAAAGAGGGGGCTGAAAATTAAAAGCAAAAGCAAAATACAAGGAAGCAATAGAAACCCCCCCAGCCTTCCTGCTACCCCCGCCTCAATGGCTCTGCCTGATAAATGATGAGTCATATCTCAGAGGAATCCAGAATAGCCTTTCAAAGCATTTTCTTGTCACACTGTCATCCCTGTCAGCCTGTCTTGTCCACTGTCAGCCGTAAATGCTGGTGGCATCTGTGGGAAGACGTAAGGTCATTCTGGTGTTACCAGGTGCCATTGAGTCTGTCCCAACCTATGTATGGCACGATCGTATTTACTGCGATAGTCTAGGCTCCCGGGAATTTGGAGGCTGGAAGCTCCCTCCAGCTTTCTGGTCTCCAGGTGGTGTCTGGGAGAGGAGCGGGTTGGGTTGAGCTGCAAAGAGGGTGAAGGGTCTTTGATGTGTCCTTCTGACAAATGGCGTCTCTTCAGCAATGGTAAGGTTATGGTCTTGGCAGCATGGATTCTGTTCAGGGATTCACACAAAACGCAAGTCATTTTTCTTCCGAGGTGCACCATGACGCCAATCTGTAAAAGGAAGGAGCGTTTAGATAAAGAAGTCTCAGCATCAGCGTGGTGGGCATAGGACACCACCTCCCCTCCCTGCCCCATTACTGGAAACAGTGCTGGGCCTGGCCCCTCCCTAAGCTGCTGCTCTACCCCTACTTACCCCTGTTGACCCCATGGTCTCTGTGAGTCCCAGGGTCCCCAGTGCCAGCCCCTCCTGGACCTCACTTCCCCAAGACCCTCGCAGTGCAGAGCAGGTTCACTTGAGGGTGTAGACCCACAGGACATTCTAGACCCACTGGGCATTCGAGCACCCTCAGCCATTCCAGACCCACTGGGCATCCCAGCTCCTTCAGACAGTCTGGACCCAGTGGACATTCTAGGTCCTTCAGTGAGCATGTATGTGCGACTCGTAAATGTTAGGTTGATCCCTAGCAAGGACATAGAGACTCACCTGAAGAGACCTTAAGTAACTGAAGTATGACCTGCTGAGTAAGTAAGCCCAGTAATGGGTTAAAGGAGAAACGTTTGTGATCAAATCAATGAATGCAGAAGGCAGGACCGTAAAGCCTGAGAGGGATCCGCGGCAACCTTTGTTACAAACCGTTCTAGCGCTGTTTGTTGGTCTTGTCCACGCAGACCACAGAGCCCACCTTGAGGAAGGAGACCCCAAGCGAAGCTCCCTTTCAGAAGTTAGACCACTTTTTTCTCTTTTCTCTCCTAACTGCTCCTCCACGATATTTTATTTTTTACAAGAAAGTACCTTATAGACACCCGTTAGGTCTGGAACTGAGCTCACCCCCAGGTTCAACTCTCAGCCAAATGGTAGACAAGCCTGTAAGATGAACCCTAAAACCAGAGGACTTCACACTTCACAGAAACAAGCAGAAGGGCGGCACTGACCCGGGAACAGAGCTCAGGAGGCATGATGGGAAATGGGAAACGGGAAGGAAGGAGGAAGACACTTTTATGGGGACTGTAATCCATATCACAAAGGAAAATGTGGCTGATTAGTGGGATGGGAAACCAGTTTGCCCTGTGAACTTTCACCCAAATCACAGTTTAAAAAAGAAAGAAATGCTCAAGTAAATGTGGTAAAATATCCAGGTTTTATAAAACTGGTGGTGTTTACCCAGTTTCTCTACTGTATTATTCTTTATAACTGGTTCCATTTTGTGAATTTGATGATAAAAATGGCCCGACACAGGCAATAAAGGAATTGAATAGAACCCAAGCTTTACATACGGGGGTTGGGGGAGTAGTCACCAGTCCACAATCCTGTTCATTGAAAACTCAGTTTATTTGTGTAGATTTTTCTCACATAAATATCAAGTAACAACATTTCAATATGTCACAACCATATTAGTTGGTTGATTGAATGCAATTTTAAACAAACAAACGGCATGCGTTTGCATACGTTTGGCAGGTCAGAGCTGCACTCACTGATGTGGGAGAAGCACCGAGGACCAGTCTGTGGCGTGATGTGTCCAGTGTGTGTGTGTGTGGATCTTCAGAAAGGAGAGACGTTGCTTTAACACAGACGAAGCAGTTAAGCGTTCAGCAAGGCCCTGGGCAGCTGTGTGTCCTTCTCTGTCCAGCAAAGTGGCCCAGGAGCTCCTTGCACACAACCATTCCCAGTTAAGCCAGGGGTTCTTGGTGGTACTGGGAGCATCCCGCCGGGCACTGCTCCCTTCAGCTGCCGCCCTGGCCTTGCCTGTCTGAGCCCTGCCCTGCAGGCATGATGGTTGCGTTGTAGCCAAGACCACAGTGGCCCAGTGCCCCAGGGCCTTGCCCACAGGTCTCACTTCTGAGGAGCTTTGTTGGGGCATTAGAACCCAGGACCAGAGTCTCCACCAGCGCTTCATGGAGGAATGCTGGTTCCTGGGACCAGGGCCCCTTAGGCCAGGACTGTGGGACATGGTGTCTCTTGGGAACTGGAATATCCGGCACCCTGGAGGCTGGGAGGTCAGCTCCCAGGAGACACTGCAGACACTGACAAGCCCGTCACACGAGCCAACCCAAGAAATGAGCCTCAGCCTCCCTGCTCAGCCTTGTGTCTCTGGTGTTGGGAGACTTTGGACCACACCGGGTGGGCCTAATCCAGGGGCTCAGGCGGGATTCCGCCAGCACACACGGAAGGCACCGGGACATTACTGCCCCAGGTTGAGGGGCTCCCGGGGTCTGTCACCATCACCACTCACAGCTGATTCTTGTTCTAGCCTACTTTCTCTCACTCCTGTGTGGTCTGGATTTGTGAGCACCGAGTCAGTGTCCCCACGGAAACACCAGGAGTGTGTTTGGTGGCACAGGCTTGCCATGAGGAAGAGCAGATGCGGAGTGGATGAGTGTGCCCCGGCAGGCGGGCCGGCCGAGAGCACTTGATTGGCTGCAGTTGGATAAACATGTTTTCCAAGCAGGCATTCACCATGGCAACAGACTCACTGTCTATCTGGACCACTTCTGTGGTACACACCGTTCTTGCGGGCAGTGAACACAACTTTCTGCTGGCTTTGTTGGAAAACAAGAAAGACAGGCTGGTGTACCTCCCTGCTGACGGGGATCTAGGCGTTCTCCTTGGCTAGGAAGAGCCTTTTTCTTAGGTTCCTTTCTCTGTCTGCTTCAGAAAGCCCTCCCTTTCTGTGGGGAACAGGGGGTTGTGTACGTGTTTTCCTGGTGGGACTGTCTCTGATTTGGGGGATGTTTGCTCTTGAGAAATGGAGCCATTTGGGGCATACAGTGGGGCGAGAGAAATTGGAAATCAAAGAGCCCAAAGGTGGACTGAGGCCTAACAGGGATTGAGGTCCACCTTTGTGTGTGAATGTGTGTGCGTGTGTGGTAGACGCTGGTGCTTGCAGTGACCGCTTCTGCGGTCAGCTCTCCCACAATGGACATGGTATCTGTGGGTTGGGACACATGTTCCCATAGTGATCCCTCCTGTGGTCAGCTCTCCCCATGTGGACATGGTCTTGGGGGCCCACGACATGGGTGCCCGCAGTGACCCCTCCTGTGGTCAACTCTCCTCACATGGATGCGGTGTTGGGGGCCCAGGACACGGGTGCCCGCAGTGACCCCTCCTGTGCTCTGCTCTTCCCACAGTGGACGTGGCCACGCCTCTGCCCCTGCAGGTGGCGCCGGCGGCCGTGCCCATGGACCTGCGCCTAGACCCACAGTTCCCGCTGCCCGTGGCGGAGCCCACTCTGCGTGAGCAACAGCTACAGCAGGAGCTCCTGGCGCTGAAACAGAAGCAACAGATCCAGCGGCAGATCCTCATCGCAGAGTTCCAGCGGCAACATGAACAGCTGTCCCGACAGCATGAGGCGCAGCTGCATGAGCACATCAAGGTGGGCGAGGCTGTGGGGGGCGGGGCAGACCTGAGGGTTCACTCACAGATGGTCCTAAATCACTGAGTTCACTGCTGCTTGAGAACGCTGGAGGGGCGGGGGGGCGGGGGGGTTTGTAACAGGAAAGGCTGACCCAAGGGGTCACTCACCGATGGCCTTACTGACCACAGAGACAGGGAACCTTTGTACACAGCAGATCACACTATGAAGTCAAGACTTAGAAATGCACCAAACTAAAGAAAACATTGATCTAATTTCATCTGAAACTGTAAGACCTTCCTACACCCAGAAACCCCACGAGCAGGAAGAAGAGGGTGGTGAAGGTCTTGGTAGAGAAGCATGCATTTATGGACCATTTTGTTTCATCTCGGGATGTCTGTGACCTCTCTCAGTTCTACCCACCGAGCTTTTGTAACTGTTAAGTGGCTCCAGTAGGTTCTGACTCATAACAACCCCATATAGGTTTTCTAAGGAGTGACTTAAACCACCAATCTTGTGGTCAGCAGCCCAGTACCGCTCCTACAGCAGCACACCATGACTCCAAAATAGAGTTAAAACAACAACAACAAAAACCCCACAGGTTTTATGGCTTCTTTTCTTGGTACGATTTTGAAATGAAATAAACTGGAAAGCCCAGCACACATGTGAGATTGGGCATGAAGGTCGTTCTTCAATCCAGAAGTTCACGTTGATCACTGGGAAGTAAGGCAAGAAATTCAGATTCAAGTGCCGTCTCTAGGGTAAGGCCGTCTCTCTTTGTTGGCTCACAGTCTAAGAGGAAGGTCCTTGTTATCTGGCCTAACCTTTAAGGCTGGCATTCCTTGGAGATAGCCATGTGTCTTGGCATCAGTTTTCCCCTCGGTCTAGGAGATTCTCAGCACATGGACTCTGGATCCAAAGAACATGCTTTGCTCCTGGGTCTTCTTTTTTGGTGATAGTAGATCCCTCTGGACTTGGCTCGCTTGTTTCATCTCTTTTATATCTCAGAAGAGATTGGATCAAAATGCAACTTAACCTTGTAGATGGCATCCTGCCTCCCTCTAAGAAGCCCTGGGCTGCTGACCCCAAGACCAGTAGTTTGAATCAACCAGTCATTCTGTAAGAGGAAGATGAAGCTTTCTGCTCCAGTAAAGACTTACAGCCTTGGAAACTACACTCGGTGGCATACAACCACCAACAACCACCAATCCTACCTACCTCATTAGCATCATGGAGGTGAGGATTAACAACACATAGGGTAATGACATCAGATCAGAAAATCGAGGATAATTAGATTACACTGAGAATCAGGGCCTGGCCAAGTGGACCCATATTTTGTGGGGGACATAACTCAATTCATATCACCTAGCATTTCCAAAATAAGATTTCTACCAGGAATCAGTAAAAAAAATGATCAGTTGAATTGTTTACATTCTGTCGTTCGATTTAAGCCTTTGTAATCCGTGGAGGATTAGACACTTCATCATACCTCTGTTCAGACTAACCACATTTCAAGTGCTCAGCACCCACATGGTCAGAGCCCCTGCTGGGCACTCATCGTTCTAGATGCTTCCGAGAGGCTGGAGGTCACAGAGGCTAGCTTGACCTGATGGGAGACATCTTTGTCCTTTGGGTCATCAGTCTAGTGTGTGCAGAAGAATGAGTTGTGTGTCCCCGAGCTGTCATTTCCTTGACACATGTGGATCCCGATCAACTGTTGGAGCAGAGCAGTCTCTTTTCCTGTGTTTCTTTCATGTCATTGTTGAAGACATGAGGGAAGTTCAAGCTGCCTGGCGAGGTTCTAGGGGGTGGAGCCAGCACAGTGTCAAAGCTGCCCCACTGGACAGGGAGCCGAGTGACAGCGAGGGGCTGCAGGAGGTGTAGTCTAGAACTTTGTCCTTGGGGCTCCTTAGGCTGGATCATCACGCAGGATGTGTTGGGAGCTCCACTGCAGTCTCTTGGAGGATGGGTTGCTGGTTTGTGGTTTGTTTTGGGGGCAGGTTGTTGCTAATGTTCTCCAGTCCCACTCAAGTGCCTCCTAATTTGACATTTGACAAACCAAGCAGCTCACACTTCTCTGGGCAGCCTACATTGTCTGGGCTGTTTGGGGTTTGCCTTTAGAGTTCTGAGTGGGTGTCTGTCTGGAGAGTATGTTTTGAGCCAACATCATTGCAGTCCTCTGGTTCTTAACCAGTGCCCACAGGACAAACACAGTGAGACCCAGACTGCCCCTCTCATCCAGCTCTCTTGACTGTGTGGGATGAGGTGGAAGGCAGCATGTGACCACATGTTGGAGCAGTTCATGGACCTGCTAACAGGCAAGGCTTCCCTACTTGAGTGGGTGCTGTTTCTGTGGGGGACGTGGCCCAGAGGGACTTGGGCAGCTAGGGCCACATCCAACCGAATGCCCTGACTGCATGCTGGGTGTGACCTGGGGAGAAAGATCAACAAGGGGACATCAAAAGGTTCCTGGGACAGTCCACAATCTTTTAATTCCATTTTCCCACCAATTTTTGAAGCCTCCTCGTATTTCAGGTGAGCCAAAGGAAATGGGTGAAAGTCACGGGCTCCCTTTCGGTTGTTCAGGTCATTGTGTGGAACCCACAGAATGGCCATTTTACTTTCCTTCCCATCTCTGGGACTCCCATGAACGATTCTAAAAAATCCTACTCCGAGATCTTTTAAACCCAGCACTTGTTTTGTTGACTATGCATTCGACTCTTGATCATAATTACGAATAGCATAGCAGAGAATGGAAAGTCCAGGAAATGTGCTCTTCAGAAATCTGTACATAGGACAAGAGGCAGTCATAAGAACAGAACTAGGTTCTGAATGATTTAAAATCAGGACAGGTGTGCCTCAGGGTTGTATCCTTTCCCCATACTTATTCAATCTGTATGCTGAGCAGATAATCCAAGAAGCTGGATTATATGAAGAAGAACGTGGCATCAGGATTGGAGGAAGACTCATTAACAACTTGCGATATGCAGATGATACAACCTAGTTTGCTGAAAGTGAAGAGGACTTAAAATACTTACTGATAAGATCAAAGAGCACAGCCTTCGTTTTTTTTTTTTTT